GTTTCAAAGTGTCTCCTCCCAGAAACTCTTTGAGTTTTCACACCAACCATGACCCTACTTTGTGGTTTGAGTTAGCACCTTGATCATTTCTGCTGCCATAGATGTATCTACTGGGGATGGGGGAGGGAGTTTCCTGTACTAATTGGGGTTTGAGACACCTGTATATAAGTCTAACTAACTGCTATTGCTATTCTACCTGATGAAGGAAAAATCTGAACATTGTTTAAACTGCTCCTGCCCTCTGCTTGTGGCAGCTAGACTTTAAATAACTTAAGAAAAATTTATCCAGACTGAGACACCTTAGTAAACTTGTAAACTACTCAGGACTGAAGGCTATAATGTTCCCCCATTGGTCAATTTTCCTGCTGCTCTACCCTCTTGTTCTACCAAAAAAGCAGTGACCTTCTTGTTGGCAAGTCTTTGTGCATGTACATACTTTTGTGTGAAACACACACACACACACACATTTATCTATATGAAGTAAAATAAAATCCACATAGACAAAATTATATGAAAGCACAACAACCAGTTCCCAAATTAAAATAAAATCTTGATAGCTATTTTGCATTCTAATGACTTTTATATCTTTCATCAATGCTAAAAAAGCACAACACCCAAGAACTTTATGTAACATAGAAGAGAATAAAACTTAGTAGAAAGGTGATTCTTTAAAAAAATGCTACCACTTAGCTTCTTTCATTTTATCTCAAGTAAATGGGGGAAAAATGATATAACTGTAACCAGACTTTAAAAAAAAGTTCAGCTGTTAAACATTATTCTGTTCAGCCATGGTAGCAACTGGTACAGACAACCTTTAAGAAAACTTTGGAAGATTACCATGTGAATAGGCTTTGATAGTGTAACATAATACATTAAACTGAGAACTAATCTGTGACTCCATTTTTTTCTATATGTTTCAGTAACTTGGGGAAAACGAGCATTGTATAATAATATTGCCCAGTCTTACACGATATTATGAGGAATATTGAGAAAATATTTCTGAAATGAAGGACATTTATTTCATCATACTATGTTTTACTTTGTATAATCCATGCAAATCCATTTTAAAAATTAACCATAATCATGTAGTTAAGTTCATTTTCAACAATGAATATTTGTGTATGTATGTATACATGCATACACATGAACAAACAATGCTATTGTTTTTTCAATTAGGCAAAATGCATACAACTTTCGTATTCCAGCAGAGAAACTGTTTCTAATAGGTCTTCTCATCCAAAAATTGCATTGTCTGAAAGATAAAATAAATACAAGGTGAAAAACAGAATCACTTGGTTATATAACATTTTTCTTATTGTTAGTTAACAATACAATAATCTTACAGCATGTCATGGTAGTTGAAATGTGTATAAATACAAGTTATACAAGACTTCTGAAACCATCTGATATCTGTTTCTTGTCAGAACAGTCCAATTCACTATGCCAGGGAGTGATGTGGTTTTAATGGGATGGTGTGTGACAAATAACACAATATGATCTACATATCTCACAATGATTTATATATATATTCCTAGACTACTTTAAAACATCTACAAGAAAACAACCCAGCTCAGAGAGCACCAAGGACCCCTCATTTCAACCCTGAGTTATACATATTCTCCTTTATTGGTATACAATCATTTATTAAATATATATAGCCATCCCTCTCAGAAGAATAACTAGATGCAGATTATTTACTGTTGATCTGATATCTTTAAATATAAACTAAAAGACATTTCATATAGTCAAGAGAGCTTATTTCCAAGGAATCTGGGTGCTGCTTTATTCTAACTGGAGATGGAAGTTCCAGTACACTTTTTCTTTGCTGTCTTGGAAAAAAAAACACAAAATAGTGTGATGGTGGCACAAGAAAGCAAAGAATATCACTTGTAATAGACACCATGAGTACAATCCCAAAACATCTGGAGTACCACTTGAACACGACTGGCATTAACAAAATTGCAAAAGGCAAGTTTCTTTGAAATAGCTTACATCTTGGAACAATATCTTTTAATACCATCAAACAACACATCTGCTTATCCCAGATCCTTAGGAGGGACTTGAGAGGTGGATAAAAATGCCAAATCCAGGCTAAATATCAGGCTGTGTGCAACTAACCTTAATAATAATGCTTTTTATTTTTACCCCATTTTTCTTTTAAATATTTTTTTTCTTTCTCTTCTATTATGTTCAATTCCCGGAGACTGCCTGAACAAATCCTTGCAGTTTTTTTGACAAGATTTTTCAGAAATGGTTTGCCACTGCTGAAATTGACTGGCCATAGGTTACCCAGTTGGGTTCATGCCAAGATTGATGCCTTAACCACTACACCAAACTAGCTATTATTACAGTTTTAGAAGCATAGGCAGAATGTGTAAGCAGATTCTCCTCCATTTTCTCTGTGATAGCCCTGTGAGATAAACTGGATTTAGAAGGAGTGGTCTAAAGGTCATCTTATGAACTTTTGACTGGTAAGAGATATGATCTTGGTTCCCCAGGTCCTATTCCAGCACTTTAATTATGTACATTGCGCTGAACAAACCTTAAGAGAATAGAGAAAAATCTAACTACAGGACCATCTTTTCTGAGGATCCTTGGCCATTTTGCTTGTACATTTTCCAGGCTTCTATATTTCACTGATACAGTTTTGAATATGGATTCCTGAAAATAGATAGGCTTCTGAATAAGGTTAAAGCAAGCCAACAAACTAAATGGATTTCTTGGCTCACAGGATGCTGAACTGAAAGGATCCAGGGAGGTAATTTATAAGTTCCCATTTTCTACTCAAGCATTTATTTCAGGTAAAAACTCCCAAGTCTTTAACAAAGAAATCCTATGCTTTCCCAAAGAGATAAAATATAATGGATGCCGTTCATATTTTTACAATAACTTTCTCTGAAAATAACCAAATAGTAAAAATTATTGCAGGCTATAAAATCACCTTTGAACATTTGAATGTAAAAAGCTACTTCAGCAGGATTTCCTCTGATCATAAAAATGAATTGTGTAATTATGAGCCAAGCGAGAGAAAATTATGGCTAGAAAAACAAGCACTGGGTTTCTCTATAGTGTTCTGAAATATGTTGACTAGGAATATTGTAGTAGCTTATTCTTCTATTATATATTCAACATCAGTATTTGTTTTCCAAAAAGTTAGTGATTAAGAACAAAGAGTTTTCAGTAAAATAGAATACCTATTTGCTTCATTCACAAGATATATTAAGTTATATTGGGCGACCACTGGAACTGGGCAGCCAATAAATCTTTATGAATTAATAAATAATGAAAGAAGAGAACATAATTATTTCCCTCAATAATATTTTGGAACGTATGCTAAAAGCAACAGTAATGATATTGACTGTAATGCATTGGCAGAATCACATATAATATCGCCTCCTAAAAAACTAAATTGGTTCTATTATCATAGTTTTAATGTGTGAAAATCAGTGTAATATAATGTTTAGCTCAGAGGAGCCAGGTTCAAGTCTATTCAACCATAGACCTCTCTGAATAACTCTGGATCAATCATTCTCTCCAAGCCCAATCATATTCAAAGATTTGTTACTACGGGTATACAATTAGGGAACACCCTTATTTAATCTAGCCTGACCTGTTACAAAACAAAGATATAGAACCAACAGTAACATAAATGAAACAAGAATAATAGCACCAGCAATCATGTATGGGTTATAACCTACAGTAGCTAGTTAAAAAACATTTCTTCCTGTATTATTAGGGCCTGTGATGTGCCGAGGAAGTCATTTTGATTATATATCTAGAAATTGGCACTTAGAGGAAGTGCCAGAGTTTTAAGGCATTCTTGAAAGATGAGGGATTGGGATCACGTGGACCTTAGGAGATAACCAAGAGCAGGTGTGATGATAGAGAAAGGTGCCTGTTAGCTCCTATTAAGATGACACGGATATGGAAAGACTTCTATCATATATTTCAATATCCAAATTTATTTATTAAATAATATATACTCTAACCAGATAGCATGTTTTCACATGTTCACATGCTGGGGCAAACTGCAGGTAAATGGACAAGAATGCTAGGATAATTATTTATTGATTACAACCTTTTTATTCTGCAAGGACTCCAAGGAAATAGCTGGAGAAGATGTTTCCTTATTGTCTCCTTTCAACCAGGGAAACAATAGAAACATTAATGTATGCTACAAGCATTTGGGGAGGAAGCTTTTATTCATGCAATCAACTTGGAATTTGTTTACAGAATTGCATTAGGTCTAATGTCCCTTTAATCTCGTCTTCTCACCATTGCATCTGTTGAGAAGAAAAAGGAAGTATAATTTAAAACGTTTTCTGATTGTTTTTGGAAGGAAAAGGATGTCTACACCTAGAGATCTTAGCCTTCCAGGGAAAGTATGTGATCTTCAGAAAATGCTTTTCAGAGAGCTGTCTCTAGATACTTACCATATAGCTGGGTTCAATTTTATATACTGTACACAGTGGTGAAATCTAATTTTGTTGTCCACCGGTTCTGTGGACGTGGCTTGGTGCGGGGGGGTCATGTGACTGGGTGGGCGTGGCCAACTTTTTTTCACTTTTAACAGCATTTTTTCCCCTGCCTATTTGCCCGAACTGGCAGGAAAATAATGCTTTAAAAAGCAAAAAAAAAGCTGAGCCACTCGATCCTTGGAAGCTCTTTTTTTTTTACTACCGGTTTGCAGAACCACGGACATTTGTCCCTACTGGTTTGGCCGAACCGGGCCGAACCAGGAGGATTTCACCCCTGACTGTACATATAGGTAATGCTCGCTTACCAACTTCCTTGTTTAGCAACAGTTCAAAGTTACATTTGGAAAAAAGGGTTTTTCAACCAATCCTCGCATTTATGGCCATCACAATGTCCCCATAGTTACATAATTGACATTTGTGCTCTTCATAACCAGCTTCCAAACAAGCAGAGTAAATGCCTATGGAGATTCTCAATCATCCAAGTCATGGTTGTCCCAAAGGTGCTTTTTTTCAAGNTTGGGCGGGGCGAAGGCCTCAGGTCGGGGGAGCGAGAATGGGCGGGGAGGAAACGGAGATGGCCGAGCCCGGGGAAAGAAGCGAGACCAGCGGCGAGGAAGCCACGGTGCCTGCCCTCCAGCTCAATGGATACCTGGCCGGTAAAGAGCCGGACGACAGCGGCAACTGCCTCTCTTTGGTGACCGAGAAGGATGCGGAGATTGGAAGCATCTCCGTTTCCTTTGCTGATCTCGAGAAGTATCCAGAAGCAGAAGCGATGCTGTCTGACTGTACCGTGGCGGTGAAACTGACCCCTCGGCTTTCCAAACGGAGGCTGGTGGTGCTGGCCGTGTTCAGCTTCTACTCGCTAGTCAATGCCTTCCAGTGGATCCAGTACAGTATATTGACCAGTGTCTTCACTCGCTACTATAATGTTCATTCTTCTGAAATTGACTGGCTCTCCATATCATATATGGTGGCATATGTGCCTCTCATATTTCCGGCCACTTGGTTGCTGGACAAGCGTGGCCTCCGTGTCACTGCCTTGCTGGGATCTGGACTGAATTGCTTGGGGGCCTGGATTAAGTGTACCAGTGTCCAGCCACATCTCTATCTGGTCACTCTGCTGGCTCAGATTGTGTGTTCCGTAGCCCAGGTCTTCATTTTGGGCTTGCCCTCCCACATTGCTTCTGTTTGGTTTGGACCCAAAGAAGTGTCCACTGCTTGTGCTGTAGCTGTTCTGGGCAATCAGGTGAGTGGTAAAAGAGGAGAAAGAGTTGCGTGAGATATGGATGTTGATGGATAACTTTGGTGAGAAAAAATAAGCACATTTGGGTTTAAGAAAAAAAATCTAGTTTCCATTCTTTTTTCCATAGTTAGATGAGCACTTATCATGCATAACCTGGTTGGCATTGGTGATTGAAGCAATTAACTTGAATAAGCAAGGACATTTATAACTGAATAATTAGCCTTCATATATTTAATCCAAAACCTTGCTATTTAAATTTGTATCTTCTGTCTGATGCTATAATGTCAGTTAGGCATCATAATATAAGTTTTCATTTTTCAGTTATAACCCTCTAATAATTGTGGAACTAATAATATAGAAATAGCATATTTCAAAGAAAATATTTTCTGCAAGAGTTTTGATATTTTAATATTCAGAAAATCAGTTAGGAAAACAAGTGAGTATAAAAAGGTTATTGTAACATTCTTGCATTCTAAATATAGTTCTGCACATTAATTCAGAAAAATCACATCATTTAAATATAATGAATTAGAACTGTTACTAGCTGTTGATTTCCTGATGAAAAAGTTCTTTCAGTATTTTTCCTTGTGATAGAAACTTTCAGGTTTATGTTATTATTAATACTATTTTAAAGGGTATCACCAAATGTGTTGATAGAAATATGTTTGGATTTCAAAAAAACATTCATGCAATCCTTTATCAAACATTCACTATAACGGCTATAGGAGTATTAAGAGTATTCAACTTTTTAAGAATTGGTTAATGGTTAAAAGATAAGGGAGCAGAGAAAATAGACAATTTCATGTTGACTGCTGTGTCCGTAAAATGTATAAAACTGGAATAGGAGTACCTCAAAGATTAGGGGATTATATCAAATTTTCTGTTAGACAATACTACAGTATTTAAAGCTTTTTTTCTTAAAAGCAGAGAAAAAAGGTTTAGAAAGAGGTGTAAAACATATGTACGATGAAAAATGTTTTCTTCCTCTCAGTATCACAAGTCATTCATTATAAAACAAAAATGCTAAAGAAAGTATGTTACCATATAATGCATAATTAGATATGGTGATGATCGTAAATTTAGGTTGTTTTAAAGGGGAGTTAGACAGATTTTTGGGGTAGTTGATCTGTTTATATCTATAATTCTTAATGGTTGCATACTACTCCCAGAGGCTTAGGTGTGAGAGCTTAAATAGAAGCTCTTAGGAAGAAACAGTAAATCAAGGCTATTTCTTTACTGCTTATGATTATGCATTTGAATGAATTTTGGAGTGTTGTATCGTACTGTTTTGGCCAGATTGACCTATGCTAGTCTAATAGATCTGTGTTTTCAGATTTATTCTAACACAATTTTCTTTTTATTTTAATAGCTAGGCACAGCAATTGGCTTTTTACTGCCTCCAGTTTTAGTTCCAAATACATATGATAACCTGGATCTTATGGGACATAATATCAGCATAATGTTCTATGGCACAGCAGGAGTATCTACTTTCCTCTTTTTATTAACAGCGGTTGGTATGTAAAACATTATTTCAATCTAATTATAACAACAATAATAATAAATAATTTGTAAATTGAAGTTGAGCGATTATGGAGGAAGAAATCAATAGTTGTACCAATAGTAATTGCCCTTGGAGCAAAGGACTGCCTAGATACATGGAATTTTTGAACTTATTAGACCTGGATATCCTGACTTTACAAAAACCACTCTACTCTGAACTGCCTATATCAGGGGTGTCAAACTTGTGGTCTGCGGGTTGGATATATCACATGCTGGCCTTGCCCATCCTGTTTTTTAGCGAAGTGGCGGGAAAAATGTCATAAGTCACATGACCACAATGTCATGACATGTGTTTGACACCCTTGGCCTATATATTCAAATGTTACCTTAATTGCTCTTAAGTCCCTGGTTGGGACTTGAACTAATTTTTACTAGTCCCAGACTGTGAATTGAATTGAAGATTAACCATAATAATAATAATAATAATAATAATAATAATAATAATAATAATAATAATAATAATAATAATACAAGAATTATATCAATGTATTATAATTAAAGTTTTGTTTTGTTTTTCCTAGAATTAGCTGTAATTACAAATTATAACATATTTATGAGAAGATAGTAAGGAAAATTATAATGAGATGTTTAGATTAAGAGGACTAAGAAGCAAATTGAAGGAAAAGAAAAAGAAGAATTACCAGAATTGTACTAAAACATGACTAGAAGAATTATGGAGTTAAGATAAACAATGTAAAATATTACAATAACCAAGGAGAGATTGCAAAATCTAAATCCTATGATGCAACACTTGATAAGAAACGAGGAAACATCAAACAAAAAAAATTGTATCTGATATTAATGAAGGAAAAAAGATGGTACTAGCTGTGGAAACATAATATGGCATTAATGCTGCTGCCGGTCACTGTAGTTCTATCAGTACTCATATAGAATAACATAACTATGGTGCAGTTCCTTTGCTGAGCTTGGCAAATTCAGGACAATGAAGTGACACATTATATGGAGGCGAGGTGGCGCAGTGGGTAGAGTGCAGTACTGCAGTACTGCAGGCCACTTCAGCTGACTGCTAGATCAGCAGTTCAGCGGTTCAAATCTCACCGGCTCAGGGTTGACTCAGCCTTCCATCCTTCCGAGGTGGGTAAAATGAGGACCCGGATTNAGAAAGTCCACTTGCCTCTTGAAAAAAAAAGCATCTTTGGGACAGAGTAAAGAGAAAAAACAGCAGTAAAATTGCAAGTTGTGATCATGTAATATCTTACTTAATGACCCAGGATGATTAACTTAACCACAAAAGCAGAAGTGATGCAAGTACATACATATGTAGTGTACACACATAGACACACTCAGTACATTAAATATCTTGACTGATACAAATTTAGTTTGCAGCAATAGGATAATAGACCCATCACAACTGAATCCCTCCTCTTAATTTTGAGAAGAAATTACAGGTGTGTGAAGTTCAATATTTATTTGAAGTGCAATATTTTCAAACTTACTTTTTTCAGGAAAATGCCGTTTTTCTTTATTAAGAGGAGTTATTTTTATCCAGGATGTCCTGCCACTGTCATACTCCTTTTTTTCTTCCTTGTAGTTCTCTACTGAAGCTCGATTACTTTGAGGATAATGTTTTTTCTGGGGCCTGAGCCACCAAGTTTCATTATTTCCTTCTATCAAGCATCTCGATTCCCTCAGCTTATTATATTCAAGCAAGCGCTTTTTCGCATCTTTAGCCATTATAGTAAAATGTGCTTCTTGTTACCATGAGATGAATTCCTGTTTTTTAAAACAACAATGCATATAATACAAAATACTCAGGCCTCATTTGCTTAATACTTTTTATCACTGAAAACAGGCAAAACTAATCTGTTCTTATAGAGATGACGCCTGATATGTACTTGCTAGAAAAGATGATGCAGCTGATCTGAAGGGAGAAAAATATTCATTTCCAATGCAGACAATTTATGTACTAATCGTCCTAAAATCCATTCCTAATAACAGCTAATAACAACAATGGCCCTACTGGATGAGGTCAAAGCTAGTCCTGTACTGTTTTTCATAATAATAAACCAGACGCCTCTGAGGAGTTAGAGATATAACCATCTCTCACCACTATCACCTGCAAGTGGTCTTGGATTTTCCAAACCCAACTGCCTTTGTTAGATCTGTCCTCGATGTATTTAACAAATTTGCTGTTAAAGTATGTAACAGACTACCAGGGTTTTATGGTAATTATTTTCTCAGTTAATACATTTTTGAGGGAAAGCATTCTTTTGACTGTTTCAAATCTCCCACTAGTCAGCTTCATTGGATGACCCATCATCATTTTGTGAGAGAGGAACAAAATTCTCTGTTCATTTTATCCATCATGTGGTTTTTATTCCTCTCAATAACTTTCTACCTCAATGGCTATTTTCCAAGTGAAGATGCCCCAAAGCCTTTCTTTATTGTAGGGAAGATGTTCAAGTGTTCCAGCTGGATAGGTACTGATTTATCAAATGTATATGGCCACCTATCTCAGAAATGTGACTCTGCGTGATATACAAAAAGACTAAAACATTCTTCAAAGACCATTAAAAACAAACTAGAAACAAGATCAGGAACAGTAGTTCTAATTCCCAAGATCTAGAAGATCCAGGATACCCATCAACTGAATAGTAGAAGTTTAGTTCTGGAGAAGACTGCCACAAAAATATTGCTGTATAGGATAAAACCTCATTCCATCAAAGATGCTGCATTAGTCCTCTTAATTCAAATATTGACATTCTCTCGCTAGCCAATTTATTTGATTAGAATTGGTCTGCATTTTCTCTTCCCTATTTATTTTTGAGCACTTTTTCAATTCTATGTACATATGCTTGGTCAGCAAGGACTCTTTGGAATTCTTCACGGTAGAAAAAAATCATATATAGTTCCTACATAGTTTTTAAATCCATACACCATTCTTTCATCCCTTGCCCCCATTCTGTGATTATGAATATTTCTTTCATGTGGGTATCCTGATGGACCTTTTCAAATCTCTCCTTCCTTCTGGATAGTCTGATGTGATTTCCCATGATAAGATCTTTCTCCTTCCTTTTCTATTCAGTTTTTCCTATAGAGTTGATTCTTATTTACATATCCTGTTTGTTAGACAGATTTACAATGCTAGGAATAGTAAGTACAACTGTAGCTCTGAAGAATATCAGCCAAAAAGTCCATGTTCCAGTTGGTATTTCTAGCTACTTGCAAAATCTCTAGGATCTCTCTGAGTCTTTTCAGGATAGTCACTTGAGAGTGATAAATCCTGTAATGTTCTAAAAGTTTATTTAGAGAATGTTAGTAATTTAGGAGGCGTGTATCCTGTTTAGAAAATATTCTGAAAGGTGTAGTCTACCTCTTTTCCTGTCTTGTCAGATAAAGGTTCAGGCATATTTACACAGATGCCTATCAACAATGTAATTAACATTTTCTTTGAAAATTGTTAAAAAAATTGAGAGTATAATCTGATGTGGAGTATATATTATATAGACCACTGCTTCATTTCTAGAGATATTGACACTTATGAGATTATGAAGACACTTCTGATATTATGAAGAACCTGGAAATACAAGTCTTTTCCCTGATCAAAGAATAAACATGATAAATCTGTTTTTCCCCCTCTTGCATGACATAATTCACACCTGTGAACTTCCTGCGTGGCCAAATTACAATAAAAGCTGTTTAACAGTTTTTCTTATGACAACACATTGAAGGATTATAGGGGAATGATCAAGCATTAACTTAAAATGTAATTGAGTATAGTATGGTATGGTATGGTATAAAGTTCATAGGGGCATTTCTAATACAATGGGTGCAAATCAGGTGGTATTTAGCAGGTTCTGACCAGTTCTGGAGAACCAGTAACAGAAATTTTGAGTATTTTGGAAAATTGGCAAATACCAACTCTGACTGGCCCCACCCCCATATATTCTCTGTCTTCTGAGTCACAACTGATTGGGAGGGAATAGGGATTTTGCAATAATCTTCTCCTGGAGTAGAGAGATTTCACAATATCCTTCCCTTGCTACGCCCACCAAGCCACACCCACCAAGCTATGCCACACCCAAAGAACTGGTAGTAAAAAAAATTGAAACCCACCACTGGTGCAAAACCCTCATCTTCAACTTCAGAAGTTGTGACGCACCATTTTAGTTGAATAGTTTAAAAGTAGAATTTTTAAGCTCCTCTTTGGAATCTGAGGTTGCCATCTCTAGAACTATAGTGTATTATTTTTCAAAAGCACAAAGAACTTTAAAACAGATGGTTTCTGCCCAAACATGCCAGGAGATGTCACTAAGTCCCCCTCTGAAGTATTTTCAGATTCACAAGATTCTGTTAACTTCACAATAAGGGTATAACTAGTACAACTGGTTGAGCTTCTTGTTTGGATACCTTGCAAGGCTAACATCAATCTTGCAAGTCTCAAAGTACCTCTTCCCTTTCACTCTCCTGAAAACTAGGAACATTTTCACCATCCCTCCTCCTTTGGACTCAAGCTTTGTTAACCAATCATTGTTTGGGGCTCTTCCTCCTGGTCTCTCAAGACTATCATCATATACTGTTGTTGCTTATGGTTTTATGTGCAACACCACCACAGCTTGTTTACTCTAATATTGATTAAAGCTACTGATAACTTCAACTGCCAGAAGCACTATAATTACTGGTTCTCCTCTAGCAACTCATACTAGCACCACAGTGGTGGATTCCGGATCCCGTTCCAACCGGTATGGTTGGAATGGGCCTTGCGGCGTACACATGGAAGCATACAGCACGCACATGCATCTTAGTGCTTCCGTGAGCCTTCGTGACACTCCAGCTGCTCCGCAGAGTGTCACACAGGTGCTGTATGTGCCATGCACCTGCGCAAAAGCGCAGAAGTCTTAAAAGACAGGTAAGGAACTTGAGTGGACGGGTGGGCCCTCCGGAGCATCATACCAGAACGGTATCCGGTGCTCCGGGCAGGCTCTGATATACC